CGTATATACATCAATATACACAAGTGATGATTCACCTTGTTGAAAAAAATTTGATTTGAGGAGCAAAGCTTTGGTTTTGAAGGGGGCCTGACAATTACATATATGGACTCATTTGTTTGGCTTTACCAATCCATGACTCACGCGTTGTTCAACTTTTGTCATAACCACTGCGTCTTTTCTTCCATTTGCAATTTTAATATCAAAGTAGGCTAGCCCTTTCCTCTCCTTTCTTTTGGACTATTCAAATGCCCCTTGATAGCAAAATCACAAATATATCTACTCCCCAATTATTCCATTCGCTACCCTACGACCAATTTTACTTTGTTTTTGCATAGCCCACTTCACCATTATAATTCTACCAAATTTTCACAATAAGAATCATACGCTACCAAAAACAATGAAAATGTCAATGATTTTACTTCAAATCAGCATTTTTACAATTACAAATTTCAGGAACTAGTTGAATTGAATAGGATCAGTTAACCACTATCCTTTTCCTTTTTCTCTGTATTTCTTTTCCTCCCAAAAATTGATGGAACATAAATTAAATACTCTCCAATCGGCTGAGTCTTCCAAGCATAGATGCTTAAAAAATTGTACCAAAGGATTATAAACAAATACATTCTCACCAACCATGACCCACTATTCAATGTTGATCATTTACTCAAAACGACAACATTTTCATTCGATGAACCCAATCATTGATCCATTGGATTCAGTCTAGTTATATATTTAATCCGACGGCTGCCAAGCCGAAGCTGTCAACAAAGACAAATCCTTCCAACCCAGTTTCAATGACCCGTTTTCCTCCACTAAAGTGTACCCTTTCCACGGGAACATCCCAAGTAACAAACTGGCTTGTGCAGCCGGGTTACCTCCAAGTGAAACGGGTTCAAACCCGAACCGTCTTAGTTCATCACCCCATTTCTCTACTTTGACTTCCCCTGTTCTCTTGGGCCCACCAACTGCCACGATATTTCTGATCTCACAACCAAACAACTGCTGCTCCACCGTGTGCCTCTCTACACTGTCCACACCCAATCCATCCCCTAACGCATCAAACAGTGCGCTATAATAGTGTAATGCTTCCACGAACCTACCTAAAAAACTACCCCGATGGCTTAAATCTTGTTCGACGATCGTGATCAATTTCGGCCTCAACAAAGTCAACAATCTCAACGTCCCTAAATCACTCCCCGTTATATCGTACAAACAATGATGCATCCAATGGACCACAATTGCCTCACTCGGTCTCACCCCGAGTTGACTCAGATCAGTCACATTTCCTATTTTGCCTTCCAGTGGATGAAACTCGAATGGTAATCCCAGTGAATTGGCAAAGTCAGCAAGTCGTCTCCCGGTTGACTCCAGCAACTCAGAGGAGGATCCGAACCCAGTTATTCTCATGGATCGGATCTTTTTAGACCGGGAGGCGAGGATGTGAAACAGTCCTGGCCATTGAAGGCCTTGCATGATATCGAGATCGATGATATGGACGTAATCCGCGCCGGCCAGAGCTTGGAAAATTGCTTGGTTGGCGGTAAAATGAGAGAACTTAATCAACGGACAGATTGAATTGTATGATTGCAAGGCGTTGAAGATCTTCTGAGACTGAGATAACGTTAACGATTTCGTGGTGAGAGGCGAGTAGGTTCCTAAACATGAGCTAACAACGCGCGCCTGGAGCGCGTGACCGAAGTACGCGCCGACGCGTTCCGGCGAAGAACCGAACGGAGAGGATAGCTCGGAGATTTCAGGTAAGAGATCAGTGGCGTCGTCGAGATTGTCCATGGCGACACACTCAGCGCATTGAAGCAATAAACCTAAGAGTTTCAATCCGGTTGACTCTCCCTCCAATTCCATAACCACCTGTTCAGCTTCCGACGCTTCCTCTTGCTGCTCGTGTGGTTGCTGAGTTTGACTTTGAGTTTGTTCGATGTTGGCGCGTTTCATGGAAGGATCATCGACGTCGGTGATGTCGGTCTCGCGGTCGACGCGCTTGGTTTTCATTGCGGAAGAGTTGTTGTTGTTGTTATTGTTATTGTTATTGATTGGAGACTGAGTGACTAAGCTCTGAAGCATGATAACAGAGGAGCAGAGAGATTCGGGAGGGGAAGAGCTTTCGGAAGAAAAGTGACAAATCAGAGAGAACGACAAGGGAAGAATGTACAGAGAGTTGCAGAGGTGTGTCAGGTAAAATTATAATTAAAAATTAAAGTAAGTGAATACTACAAGCAGTTGTGTTTGGGGAGAGAGAAAGTGAGGGAAAGTTTGAGAGAAAGTGAAGTAATTTTTTCTTCTCTAATAGAAGAGATGAGATGGATTTTGATATTTGTGGTGTCGTTAGGTACTCCGTTTGAGAGTGTCGTTAGGTCCGTTCGTTTATGGAATTAAGGAGTTTAATTAAGTGATTAATTAATATATAATAGCATCATCATTGGATTCTCGGGATGTTTGTTTTGGGTAATATTAAGGGCGGGCTATTTGTCTTTATCTTAAGGAGACGTCAATGTCTCTAATTATTATGTGTAGGTTTATTATTTTAGATAAGATTTTGATAATAATATTGAGTAATTGGATAGGACAGTATTATGAGATAAAATTTAAAAATTTATGAAAAAGCTCTTAGGTTTGTTAATTTAATTAAATACCATAATATATAAAATGATAAAAACACTCCCACCAGTGTCAGATTCCGACCACCACAGTCGGAATCTGGCCGAAAAATCGCGTTACGACATAAACTAGTCGAATCTATGTCGTAACGCATCCTTATGGGTGGATCTGGCCGGAAAAGGCTAGATCTACGACCTGTTGTGGCCGCGACGGTCGAAAAAGGTCAAAACGACGACCATCTTTGGCCATTAGCGACGGCCAAAGATATGGCCATCGTTTTCGGTCAACGATGGCCAAGATTTGTTTGGCCGTCATTCACGATCAGATCTGGCCTTTTTCGGCCAGATCCACCACGGATCTGGCCGGAAAAGGCCAGATCGGTGAACTTTTGGCCATTTTTGGTAGGCAGGTAGGCCGTTGTACAGATTCCGGCTACCATCGATGGTGGTTGCCTGAATCTGGCAAGTATGGGTCGCAGGGGTGTTTTTGATAATTTTTAAACTTTTTTTAGGGTGTATTTAATGAAATTAATAACCTTATGGGGTCTAAAAGTAATTAAAAAAATAGGGTAATATTTATAGAATAACGTGCCAAACATTATTTGGAGAATAGGATTGGGAATATGGGTAGAAATAATAAGTCAAACATGCCCTATATTATTTATTTCTAGAAATCAAACTTAAAACTGCATGTCTATCCACATTTTTAATTCGCGTTAATTACCCAAATGAGAACATAATGTAAACTCATAGGACAAGCTATCATTGCAAGTTGAGAATTCTTGTTGGATGATAATTATATTTACAATCTAATCTTATAAATTTTCTGTTACAACCTTGACGTGACGGTTTATAAATGAGTTTTACCTGTTCATTATGGGTCTCACATTGGGGTTGTAAGAAAAAACTTGTAAGATTTAAATTGTGAGGTAATTTTTATCCTTCTTGTCTTGCATTATCTTATGGAAGGATATCTGACCACAGGTAGGCTTCTCTTGCAAAAGGTGGGTTCTTTCTATTTATAACAACTTTAGTGAGTCTATGATACAAAATTGGGAGAATGCCTTATCCATGATATAGGATGTGTGGACTTCCTTTGAAGAAAAGACTATTTGATATGATATACGGAGTTAAGATTGTGCATTCACATGGCATTGTAAAGTATTCCAATGAAGTCAAAGAAGAGTGAATTATTGGACGAACCTGCCAAATTCTCAAGAGATTCCATACATTTTCAGGGAAAATTTTATGGGTTTTGTACGACTTGTGCAAGGATTTTATTTGATCTTCCTCGCGTCACTTAAGATGCTTCAGACTTGTTTTTGAGATATTGTTCTATAGATTAATAGACAAATTATTTGTTTAATAATCTCTGAAAAGTGTTGTTCTGGCTGGTTCTGAACTTGGACCAGCCTAATAAAATAAGAATTAATGACCCAACCAAACAACTTGACGGAGACTGAATTTTATATGTAGACCTAAACTCTGTTTTCCTTATTAAATTCTAACTTCGCTCAACTGACACAAGAATTAAGCATACCAAGACTTATGCCTTGCCAACCAAATTTCAGTCTGGTTCTAACTTCTAGCAAGTCTATTAAATGTGGCGCTAAATAACGTGCAATAATTATCTATCCGACCCCCACTTTTTGCTAAATTTATACAAACGAGTTTTGTTGTTAATATAACACAATACAAGGTGTTTCAGTGTTCTCAAATTGGGCTAGCCTGGAGAACTCAAAATCTAGTTATGAATATTCAAGAAATTGAACAAGCAACATTGAATCTTTGATGCACATATCACCCTGAAAATCAATTAGGAACAAAGGGATTCTAAAGGGAAAAAGACATATTCCCACCCAAAGTTTGGCAAAATGAAACTTTAATATCCGTTAAGTTTCAAAATGACAATTTTACACCCAACATTAAGTTCCGTTAGGAAAATCAATTATCTAAAATGTATAAACAGTATAAAGACGAAAATATCATTCTCTCTTCTTTTTTCTCTTTTCTTCTTTCTCCTTCGCCGTAGATGTTGCTGATTTGCATCTGCCCAGATGAAGCTAGAAGACACAAGACCCTTGGAAGCCTAACTTGGCTTTAGGTTCACTAGATTGTGTTACATTATTAAGATTACAACAAGAAACTGATTTTAAAAACAAATCATCATCTTCAAAGCTGCAAATGGTATTAAAATATTTAACTTAAAACGAGTATAGAAGCTTGAACATAGAATTGGATTTTCAGGAATATGAAGCAAAACTTTCATGTGGTATAACACGGGTTCAAGCAAAAGTTTCAAGTCAAAGTTCTCTACTTAAAAAACTACACTAAAATTAGAAAGGGAGATAAAAAGGCAAAACTAGTTGGGAACTGTTTATTGTTTCTTCCCCTTCTTGCTCCCACGGGTTGTCTCCCCTCCCCTTATCATTCTAGAGAGTATATCTGCTTGCTTTGTGTTCCCTTGTTGATTAAGGCTAGCAATCAAATCCTCACAGCTCTTCCAATCAGTGGATCCTCCTTTCGCGAGAATTTTAAACAATAAAGAATATGCATTGAGAGTCTTCCCTGCTGCTAAGAAAGCATCCAACATCTTCTCATAGCTTGAAAAGTCTAAAATGCAGTCTCTCTCCAAACAAAAATCCAACAACTTCAGAACAACAACGGTTTTTCCTTTCTCAAACAAAATAGATAGAGACTATCAAAATTGGGTGCACAACCACTGTGCATCAGCAGATCAATGCGTCCAAGGGCTTCCTCAACATGACCTCTCATGAGAAGAGCTTAGAAGAACTTGGTGACCAAATCGCATCCGGCCAAATCGACGCAGATGTGGTGCAATTCCGTTTTTACCATCCCTTCTCCCATCCCATCAATTTCCCCAACAATTCAATACACAAAACACAGCCCATTATCCCAAATAACAACAAAACTAGATTCGGGTTTGAATTTGGCTAGATGCAATTCAGCCAAATGCGATTCGACCGAAATCACACTCAGCCTGGTGCAATTCCAACCAATTAGTGGGGTTGACCTGAATCACACCTGGCCAGGTGCGATTCCGACCAATTGGTGGGGGAGGCGAAATGATGAAAGCGATATCATTTGGCACAGAGTAATATGTCTTGAGTGAGAAGGAGAGAGAGTTAATTTGGCGGATGAACTAAGCGTAGGTGAGAGCTTGACTAGTGATGGCATTGACGAGAAAAATAGTAGACGAAGTGGCGATGGGGTGGGGAAGGAAGCGTTTGAATTCAAGGTTAGTTTATATATAGGTTACAAAAATGACATAATTAGCCTTTGACTGTTTTTTAAGTTTACCATTGTATCCTTTTCCAATTAAAATTACCAGACTATGAGTGAAAAAATGTCATTTTGAAACTTAACGGATGAGAAATTGTCGTTTCACTAAACCTTGAGTGGGAAAATGTCATTCTCCCGATTCTAAACTATGAAGTTTGATGTGTACAAATTTGTAGATATATTGGTACCATATAAGCGCTATTTGTGAAAAGTTTATTACATTTATAAAAATGCGGGTGCTTTATTAAATTGAAAAAAGAAACAGAAACAAGGCCATTTATGGAATTAAGGTAAATCTAATATCAAATTGGGGCTCGATAGAGAATTAAAGGGGGTCATATAGCAACTCTTTAAAGTACATTCTGCGAAAAACTAACCAAGAAATACTTGTATTAGCATATATATAAGTGTAGTGCGATTGCTCACGACACAAACACATTTAACAACTAAACATATTAGAAGATATTGTTGCAATGTGACATTGATATCAAACACAATGAGATTTATATAAACAAAAACACAAAAACATGTGCAAACCAAACCAAACACATGCATCAATGTCTCAAACACAATGAGACATTGATGCAATAAGAGACCTGATCAAAACAATCTAAACGAAGACAATACCCTTTTGATTAGTTTGTAAATCATATAGTTGATATCATATGATATACACAGAACTACAACTGCAGAAATGTTATCATGAATCTAACCTCTATAAAATCTATTTCATTAAATTCAGAACAAAAAAACACATCAAATAGAATAAAATTGTAATTAATAAAAACCAAGAAATACTTATATTAGCATATATTTAAGTGCGATTGCTCAAGACACAAACACATTTAACAACTAAACATATTAGAAAATATAGTTGCAATGTGACGTTGATATCAAACACAATGTGATTTATATAAACAAAAACACAAAAACATGTGCAAACCAAACAATCATCTATAGTATGCTCATGTACTGAAGAACCTTCGTCCTATGTCAAATTGTAACAAGTAGAGCAAAGTATTTACAAATGCATCGACACAATAAGAGATTTCAAAACCTGATCAAAACACTCTAAACAAAATCAAAATAATTTTGATTAGTTTGAAAATCATATAGTTAATATGATATGATATACACAGAACTACAACTGCAAAAATGTTATCATGAACCTAACCTCAAAATAAAATCTATTTAATTAAATTCAGAACACCCATCTTAGAACAGTAGAAAACTATACACAGGTCAAGTTTACAGTCCAAAAACTAACCAAAATATAGACTAGTTACACAGCAATCACCATAGGTTAGCAAAAAGCAGCATGCAAAATTTATCAAATCTAATCCCATTGGAGCATTTATAAACATCAATGCATGCCATCAATCATTCAACGAATTATGAGCTACACAATAGCTCATCGCAGTCATCCATTACTACAATCAACTACACAATAACTTACCATATGAATATAAGCCTTCAACAGGATAACAGAAATCAAGGATTATATGAGCAAATCAATCCAGTAAACGGAGACGAAAATAAACATAATAACATGAGCAATTTATAGTGATAATCTTTAAGAAACATTATAAAACCAAAAATGTCTAATGGAAACGGACCCAGATCCAAACAAAAACAAGTTCACAAAACACTAAATAATCCTCAAAATCATCTTAACAACATTAATCAACTAAGTAAAAACAAAACGACGAGCCGTCCCTACAAAATAAAAAACTTAAAACCTTAGTTTGGTAAAGAACCAACGATTCTTGCCGGTCTTGAACCTCTCCTCCAACCTGTTTTTAGTCTCCTTACAAGCGGTAACCTTCTTGTCCTTGCTCTGCAGACTATCGCCGGTGACAACGTCCTTCAAGTCGACATCGAGAGTGTAGCGAGTGGGCATCAGGTGCTGGTAGTTGACGAGCTTGACGAAGGCCTTGACGCGGGACTTCTTGGCCGTCTTCTTGGTCGAATCCTTCCTGATAACCTTGCTCGGGTACTTCTTTATCCCCGCAACCAAACAGTGGCCGTATGGTCGCTCGCGGGTGCCATCGTCAAACGACTTAATGATCACCGCCTTGCGGCCGGCGTAGCGGCCTTGGAGAAGGATTACGGCCTTGTTCGGCTTGAGGAACTTAACCATCTTTCTCTTCTCTTTGTTCTTCTCTCCTCTGGGATCAAAACCCTAGTTACGAAGAAGCGGCCTTTGGGATAGGTTTATAGCGTTGGGAATATATTTATAGCGCTCTCAAAAAAAAAAACCCTAGCTAAAGTGATGAGTGCTAATCCTAAGGGCCCTCGGATCTGCAATCGGAATTTCAGATGGAATGGGCTTTCATGGGGCCTTGCATCTGGAATGGGACTCTGATAAGAATGGAGTTTATCGGGCCAATAGTCTGGAATGGAATTTTGACAGGGAATGGGCTGGACCTTAACCCCACCTTCAAACACACAATGTAGTGGATGAGATCGGGGACTCATCTTGGCGAGGACTGGGTTGTGGATGTCATCATCGATCCTTGACCCCAATTTTTTTCATTCCTACTTATATACCCATAAATAAAAAAAAATAGATATTAAATGCAAAGCTAATATTTGGATTGAAAATCCATTTTTAAACCCTTATAGCAATCAATAATGCTAAATTCACAATCCACGATATGATAGTTCGTTATTCATTAGTTCGTAAATAAGTAGACATGACCCATATAAGCAGGTGAAACCCATTTTATAAGCTAATCAATAACGAAATATCACATTTGCAGTTATAAGATTAGGTTGTAGACCTAATATTACTCTATAGTAATAGATAACTCTTACCTTTATTAAATACTAAACAAAATATCTTATAACAATAGTGGAGTTGGTAAAAAAAAAAAAAAAAAACCGTTAACTATGGAAATGGGTAAACAATAGTAAAGTTGGTAGTGAAAAGTATGAATTTGTTGAGAGTTGTTGAGCAAATTTAAAAGTAGAAAAGGAAAACTATTTTATAGGGTTTTTGAATTGTAGAATTTAATTTTTGAAATTCTTATATTGAATATACGCATAAAATCAAGATTGAGAGTGCACATAGAGTCTCATACATTTATTAGTGATAAATTTCAAGAAAAATTACAAATTCTTGAGTCGTAGGAGTCCTCTCTTGCATCAATACGGGTATAATGATATAAAATATTTAAAAAATCTACTCAAGCGAAACTAATATCATTATACCTCGTTTGTGCATTGCAAAATTTAATTGCTAAAATTTATTCATTAGTTTTTTGGAAAAGCCATTTTTTAACCAAATTTACTCTCTCTCTCTCTCTCTCTCTCTCTCTCTCTCTCTATATATATATATATATATATATATATATATATGTGTGTGTGTGTGTGTGTGTGTGTGTGTGTGTGTGTGTGTGTGTTTTACATTTCATATATCTTTTTAACACTATATTATTTTAAAAAATCATAATATTCTAACTTTCAGTCTTAAATTAAAAGTATTTTGTCATTTTCATGGATGCAATGGTATTAATGTGATTAAGTGTAGAAAATAAGGGTAAAAATGTCCAAAAATCTTATGAAAAGGCCCTCTTTATAAAGTCATTTAAAAAGTTGGATTCGACTTTTTAAAAAAGATTAACCAAATAAAATTTCTTACAATGAATTGATGGTTATTGCCTTATTGGTTAGTGTAAAAATCAAGTCAAATATTTAAAGTCGATATAACCTCATCTGATAATTATATAAGTTTACCTATAGGTAAACTGTAGCTAATGGCAACCTGTAGTCTAACAAAAAATTTATAATTATATATACAATAAAAACTATATTAATTTAGCCTCTCTTATTCATTAAACCCTTACTTTGGCCCCCTAAAATCAGTAAAATGTACAATTTTCAATTTTAAAATTTAGTCACACTCATTCATCGCTGATGTTTGTTAAAGCCAAAGTGGAGGTTTTTCTTTTAGCAAATCCGATAATTGTCTTTGCTTGTGACTCGAAACATAAAATCCTTAAGTATAACTAATCCTACTAACTAAAAGGTTTGTCATCCGATTACAAAGCGAGAGGTTAAATGGAGTTTCAATATTCTTATTTATTGCATTACCCTATTGCTAATATTTTATAGAAAATTCTTTCCATATCATAGTATCTAGGATATTTGAGTATTCTTGTTAGTATATTGAATAGTGCAACCTTTGGTAAGGAAAGCCAAATTAAATATTATTGTATTTGGAAGTAAATCTACAATGGTATTCAAAACTTTGGAGAATTCCATTGAAAATAATTAACATACCCCATTATTTAATATTGCGTGAAATGATGATAATACCCTTAGACTATTATAGTAGATAAAATGTTTTTTCTAAACCCTACTAACTAAAGGGTTTGTCATCCGATCACAAAACGAGAGGTAAAGTGGAGTTCCAACATTCTTATTTATTGCATTACACTATTGCTAATATTTTATAGAAAAAATCTTTCCATATCATAGTATGGAGGATATTTGAGTATTCTTGTTAGTACATTGAATAATGCAACCTTTGATAAGGAAAGCCAAATTAAATATTATTTTATTTAGAAGTAAATCTACAATTGTATTCAAAACTTTGGAGAATTCCATTGAAACTAATTAACATACCCCATTATTTCATATTGTGTGAAATGATGATAATACCCTTAGACTGTTATAGTAGATAAAACGTTTTTTTTTTTTTACAACAGTGGTGGTAACATGATTAAAGATAGGTTGACAAACACTTCTTATAAATTTCTCTCACAAACATAGCTTGTATTTGGGTAGACAAGACCCATTGTTGGACAAGTGAGACTCTTTATAAACTGATCAATTATGAATTAATACGTTGTTATTGTGAGAGAAAGTTAGTGATAAGGGTTTGTGAGCGTAGTATTATTGATAGTAACATATACGTTTACAATGGATTGTATGGGAAAATGTAATTAATTGGTCTGATGTTAATTTATCCTTTGTTTCTTCTGTGAATAAAAATATTAAAAAAAGCAATGGATGAGATAGACAAGCAAGAGGAAGTTTATTAGAACAAGGAATGTATCAAATACAAACCGAAAGAGTTACAGAGACAGCTCAATTACTAAAGATAAAGAAGAAAAGGAAAGAATAATACAAAAAGCTCCCACCCCCATCCTCTAAATTACACAAATAAATAAATATCAATCTGCAGAAACCACTCTGTAACATTAGAAATCTTGACGACGATCAAAAGCAAGCATCCAACACACAGCAGCAACACAACGCAGCACAACTGCATAAACAAAAGTAACCAATCAATCAACTGTAATTGCTGATATATTCTTTAGAGAAACAATAAAGGAATCCAAAAAAAAAAAAAAAAAAAAAAAATCTTAAACTTACCATCCCTTCCAGAAACCATCGCCTCTGGACTTGGTTTCCACTGGAGCTTGATTCTGATTGGCAGAATTATCCATGGTTGGATAACCAGGTGGCGGCGGTGCTACGAAAGGTCCGGTTGAGGTTGGCGGGCATGTCACTGCAATTTCCATATAAATAAATTAATATGACTGAACACTATTGTATTGAAACAATCGCAAAAGATTATAATTCTTTCGACATACCTGAAGGCTGGTTTTGATTGTTAGAAGAACTCATGTTTGAACAAACGTTAAGGCGGATACGCAAAGGAAATGATGAAGAGAGAATAAAGTTATAGGTTGTAGATGAAGAATAATTGAGTAATGGAGAATATGAAGAGAAAATAAAGTTACAGGTTGTAGATGAAGAATAATTGAGTAATGGAGAATATATATATATATAGAATGATTGATTATTTATGTTGGTTCTTAGAAGGAGGAGTCTAATCGCGGTCGGTGGTTGATTCGCTGAGAACCGCGTAAAGAATACAATATTAAAGCCAACACACTTGAAGATTCTAAAGTTCCATTTTGCTGGCCGCAGCCTGCCCTAATATCTGTTTTTGGTTTTCTTTTATTATAATCTAAATTTGTGTTCACATTATGTCATCTTTTGTTGGGAGATATTATCTAATTGACCTTCGCTATGGACACCTGCCCTCAATCAATGTTATCACGTCAAGCAACTCTCAAATTATGTTTGACCAAAATAACTCAAATGTATGAACACTCCTTCAATAATAACACGTTATGTGTATTAATATTTAATTAAAAAGATATGCAAAGCTGGTATCTTATGTCTTAAGCAAATAAGAAGAGGAGTTGATGAGTCTTATACCGAATCACGCCCTTTTCTTAAAAAACCATTACTTTGTTTTAAAAATTTGACTCAGATTTTGCTTTAAGAATTCAATGTTCTTAATACCATTATCATATATATTCTACTCCGCGTCATCACAGCATCACAATAGCATTATGGGAACTTTTAGCTTTATCTCAAATCTCTAATGGAATCATGCAGGTTCATCCAACTATATATTACTAAAATACAAGGGCTCTTCTAACCCATGGAGCCCAATAAGGCTCCCCAAAAGCCCAATGAACTGGGCTCTTCAAAGCCACAAAAGCCCAATTTGAGAGAAGGCAAATGGCTGTGACACCCCCCAACGTTATGCATACACATTCACGAGACAGTTGATTTGGTAATTGGTGGTTTGATACTTTCTAGTTTAGGATACCAAATTGAGATCTCAATGTTATACGTATAATATTATTGTTCCAATTAATAATAAACACATCAGATAAGATGATTATGAAATTTATGCTCAAACTACTAGCTAAAATAATTTTAAAGAAGATATATATGTCTAATAATAAATACTCATACGAGACAGCCTCATCATTTCATCATATTAAAATAGTGAAACTATTTAGTTAAAATTACTCATATTGCAGACTTATACAATGGTTTTCCTTTAAAAAATAACTGCGATCATAGTTACTAATGACGACTTCCATGATCAATGCTCCACATATCCATTAATTGAGCCAAATTCCTATCTGAGAGGGCAATTAGAAGAGACTATTCTTTTAGCCTTTTTCGAAGAGGTCTTTTAGATAGGAATTATTTGCAAAATATCTCTCGATCTGGTAGAAAAATTAACACTTTCACAAAATATTATTGGTATATGATCTTTCTGAGCTTATTTAAAGTGTTGAAATTTCAAAAATATTTAAAAATAATCTTATTCTATTTTATAAATTTAACTTGATCTATTCTTGAATATCAAAATCCAAACAATATTAGAAAGCTCTTTTACATTCTCCTAAT